ACACACACACACACACACACACACACACACACGCATACACATACACACACGCACACACATACAAACACAGACACAAACAAACACTGCTTTGTTGTTTCATACACACACAGAGCCTGTACACTCACAAAGCGCGTTATCGTTTACAGAATAAAATCCCAATCTCTGTTACTATTGGTTCTTCAAGTCGGCCATGTTGTGTGTCAGAGGTCACTTCAGAGGTCACCAATATTGACCTTTTACAACAACTATTCTTCATTATGGTAATCATTGTAAGTTTGGCATAAAATCACCGATTCTATGAAAAACAAAGTCAAATCTATCAGCAAGTGAGCCAATCGCTTAAGTTGTTTCGTTATCTTTTAAAGCTACAACCTAAACTATAGTAAAAAACAACAACCTGTAGTTCACTATTCAACAATTTACAATTAACTTCTTCTTTCCCGCGTAATGGCACCCACATTCGGACACGCTGTATGAGGGATTCGTAGATTTCTCTCCTCCCTCGGCAGCCCCCGCCCGTCCCTCCCTCTACCGGACTATAATAAAAAATGACACATGCGTAGTAAGTCCTGAACACTTGCCGTCCTTACAATATCTGGAAGTAAAAAAATATTTGTAAGCGAATAATCCATCAGTTCGTTGAGCAAAGACGTGATTAAGTTAATAACCTCTAAACAGATGTGTGATGAAACTATAGAAAGTCTTTAATTTGTTATCAAACTGGTGCAGCCTGGCTAACCGGATAAAAGAGCCCACTGTCTCAGTCTCAGTCTCAGTCTTAGCACCAGTCTCAGTCTCAGTGTTAGCCCCAGACTCAGTCTAGTCGCGCGCATGCGTGCCTTGGCGCGTAAAAAGAAAAAATAATTTAAAAAGGGGAAAAAATGTAAAAATTTATCGTTTTAAAAAGGAATAAACGAGTAAAAACCGCGAGCGTGCCCTACAGTTAGCCAGCTTACCCTACAGTTAGCCAGCTTACCCTATCAGCTAAATCTGTTGGATAGGTCACGAATACGTAGCGAGAGAGAGATTGGAAATTCAGAGAGTACTGAGAGACGATGAAGAGGGTAAAAGGGAATATATAGCTGCTTGTATTACGCTGCCTGTGTGCCCGCCATCTAGCGGACGTAATGCTAACTCGTCTTTGATTCTCTCTCTGTACGTGTAGGAAAAAGATGAACCAAAACGATACAATAATCACCAAATCACAACGCATTGGGGGAAGGTATGCTGCTGCCATCTCGTGGCACCTTATGCAACCAACATGTATATAAATATATATGTGTGTATTTATATATATATATATATATATATATATATATATATGTATATATATATATATATATATATTTATTATTATATATATATATATTATTTTATTAGCCATTATTATCTTGCTATCTCCACCTGCCTCTGAGCGACGCACCTTGCCGACTCTCAACCCTCTTCCGCGCGCGTTATACGTTGTCTAATCACTAGCTACGATGCTGCGTGTGTTTCAGGGTGTGCCGGGACTGGACGCGCCTTGTCCGGTCGGACCGGACGGACTGCCGATGCCGGGATGCGGCTACCGCATGCCTTACAACGTACGTGGAAATAAGAAGGGCAAGCGAGGGGGCCGGAAGAAGAATCGAAACCGCGGCGGGGAGGGGGAGGGCGCAGCGGGGGAGGTAGAGGAGGTCGACTCCCCCGCGCCGGAGCAGGCGGAGGGCGACGTTGGGGGTCTCCCACGCGGGCCCGCGTCCGACCCCCTCTACTCATGGTTCGACGAGTGAGGGGGAGGCGTCCGGAAGGGGGAGGAGAGGGAATGTCCCGTGCGGAGAGGGAGGCGGCGTGGGTGTGTTTTTTCTCGCGTGGGGGGAAGGGCGTGATTGTATTTGTACCCGCGTGGTGGGGGGATTGTATTTGTACCCGCCTGGTAGGGGGGGGGGGTGATTGTATTTGTACCCGCGGGAGGGAGTGGCGTTGGTTTATTTGTACTTGCGCAAAGGAGAAGGGGTAGGGATGCGTTCGTGCCTGCGCGGGGGAGGGGAGGCGGCGTGGTCTAATTGTACCCGCGCACACTCTGTGGGAGCGGGTGTGACGTCATCGTCAGCACGCAGGCAGCGAGGTACGGGCGGTATCCTGGTTTGTGGGAGGAGGAAAATAAACGGTGGGTGGTGTAGGGACGTTGTTGTAGAAGTGTTTCTCACTCGGTCGCGAGGAGACACCATACGTTCAGAGGTGGATGGGTGGGGATGGGTGG